TGAATAGCAGAGAAATACTGTCAGAAATAGTGCCGGAAAATGAGCCCCTCAGGTTGGAAGGCACTCAAAATGCGACTAGGGAAGAGCTGCCTCCTCAAAGTAGAGTTGACCGTGATGATGCAAATGGAGTAAAGCCTGGGGGAGAGAAGCCCGCAGAACCTTCATTTGCTGATGGGGCACAACACAAAATGAAGAGAAACAGCTGTAAACATCCGTTGAAATTGGAACATGGAATGTACGAAGTATGAATCTGGGAAAATTGGAAGTTGTCAAAAATGAAATGTAATGTATAAACATCGAAATCTTAGACATTAATGAGCTGAAATGGACCGGTATTGGCCATTTTGAATCTGATGACCACATGGTTTACTATGCCGGGAATGACAGATTGAAGAGGAATGGTGTTTCATTCATTGTCAAAAAGAACATATCCAGATCAGTTATAAGGTACAATACTATAAGTGATAGGATAATATCCACACACTTATAGGGAAGACCAATTTGATGGTACATGAAAGGGATTGCACTCATTGTAATGACATGAGGTGCATGATTTGTTGAATGTGGGATTGGTGAGCTGTTCTGTAAACCTTCACTCAGTTCACAATAAAAAGTCTAAAAAAGTTTTTTAAAAAATTTTAAACAAAATGTATACCAGGCAGCTGGTTCTAGGAAGATGACAGCTCTCTCCTAACTCCCTACTATTTGCATGTTTTTTTGGTTTTGCCTTGTCCTGGTGTGGCGCTGTGGGTTAATGCGCTGCACTGCACAGTTGGTTTGAACCTCAATGTCGGTCATGGTTCAAGTTCACCAGTTGCTCCTCAGAAACTCTATACAGGGTCGCTGTGGGTCGAAATTGACTCGACGGCACTTAACGACAATAACCCTAGTAAAAATGTCTTATACCTAATTTGTTCTGTGCTTTCTATTCTTCTAGTTTTGAGGTCTTTGATTAATAAAGTTTAATTTAATCAGCTTAGTCTGAAGTACAATTATCACTTTAGTATTCTATTTGCTTAGTATTTCCTATTCTTTTATACCATGAACTGTGAGATTATTTTGTGTGATCAAAAGGCATTCTACTCAGCATAATGTTTCCAGGATTCATCCATGCTGTGGGATGTACTTGGGCCTCATGTCTCTTTATGACAGAGTTATTATATATATAACATACCACATTTTGTTTATCCATTCATCAGTTGGTGGACATACAAGTTGTGTTCTCCTTTTGGCTTTTGGGATTAGTGCTGCAATAAAAGTTGGTGTATATGTGTCTGTAGGCACCACTGATTTCAAGTATCTTGGGTATATACCAACAGTGGAATTGCTAGATCATATGATAGCTCTATAAACAACATCATGATAAATGGAGAAAATATTGAAGTTGTTAAGGCCTTCATTTTACTTGGATCCACAATCAACTCTCCTAGAAAGAGCAGTCAAAAATCAAACTATGTATTATTGCAATGGACAGATCTATTGCAAAGTGTTAAAGATGAAGAGAGCTAAGGTGCACCTGACCCAAGCCAGGGTATTTCCGGTCACCTCATATGCATATGAAAACTGGACAATGAATAAGGAAATCTAAAGAAAAATTGATGCCTTTGAATTATGGTGTTGGTGGAGAATATTCAATATCCCACAGACTTCCAGCTGGAAAGAAGTACAGCTAGAATGTTTCTTAGAAGAGAGGCTAGTGAGACATTTTCTTACCTAAGACTTGTGATCAGGAG